CGTGCTCCACGCTGGCGACCTGCACAACAACAACAACAACAACAACAAGAACAACAACAACAACAACAACAACAACAACAACAACACGAAGAAGAAGAAGAAGAAGAAGAAGAAGAAGAAGAAGAAGAAAAAGAAGAAGAAGAAGAGGGGCGGAGGTCATACCTGCGTCAGCGGTACTTACCTGGGGGCCATAGCCGTGCTCCACGCTGGCGACCTACACAACAACAGCAACAACAACAACAACAATAACAAGAGCGGCGGAGGCCATGCCTGTGTCAGCGGTACTTACCTGGTTTCCATAGCTGTGCTCCACGCTGGCGACCTGCACAACAACAACAACAACAACAACAACAACAACAACAAGAGCGGCGGAGGCCATACCTGCATTACCGGTACTTACCTGGGCGCCATAGCCGTGCTCCACGCTGGCGACCTGCACAACAACATCAACAACAACAACAACAAGAGCGGTACTTACCTGGGCGCCATAGCCGTGCGCCACATTGGCGACCTGCACAACAACAGCAACAAGAACAACAACAACAACAACAACCACAACAACAACAACATAGCCCTGCTCCACGTTGGCGACCTGCACAACAACAGCAACAACAACAGCAACAACAACAACAAGAGCGCCGGAGGCCATACCTGCGTCAACGGTACTTATCTGGGCGCCATAGCCGTGCTCCACGCTGGCGACCTGCACAACAACAACAACAACAAGAGGGGCGGAGGGCATACCTGCGTCAGCGGTACTTACCTGGTTTCCATAGTCGTGCTCCACACTGGCGACCTGCACAACAACAGCAACAACAACAACAGCAGCAAGAAGAAGAAGAAGAAGAAGAAGAAGAAGAAGAGCGGTAGAGACCATACCTGAATCACCGGTACTTACCTGGGCGTCATAGCCATGCTCCATGCTGGCGACCTGCACAACAACAGCAACAACAACAAGAGCGGTACTTACCTGGGCGCCATAGTCGTGCTCCACGCTGGCGACCTGTACAACAACAAGAAC